GGTTACTATTTGATCTCTGGATTATATTAATAGTATAGTTCCGAGCACAGAGTGACTGTCCATCAATAAATATTAAAAGTGAATGAACTATGGCAACAGCCTTCTGTTGGTCTCCCTGACTCTAGTTTTACATTTGATGCTAATTAAATTTAGCAAAGACTTATTGGCGCACCTACTATGGGTCAGGTATTTCGGGCTATTGTTTTCAGCAAGCAGTCTTCAAACTTTTGAGCTTCTGGATTCCCCAAAATCAGTTTTAGAACTTGTACTATAAGTTTAAATAATTTCAAAGGATGTAATTTCTGGCTTATTGTATATATTGATATTTAAAACTGTTGTAATACCTTTTTAAAAACATACCTAATAGAATCTAAATACCATGACAGTTGGATGCCCACCATTATCCATTAAAACAAAAAAGACAAACAACGTCTTTTTTTTTTTTTTAAGATTTTTTTTTTTTAATTGGTGAATCAGGGGGATGGGAACAGTGCTGGGGAATTGGGGGAAGGGGACAGACAAGTTGCTGTCGTTTTGTTCTTCAGTCTAGTTGTGGAGGATGTTGCTTCANTCTCTCTCTCTCTCTCTCTCTCTATATATATATATATATATATATATATATATTCACTTATAGTTGACATACAATATTATACAACATCAGCTTAAGAAATGTACATGTTAAAGTAAAAATCCAGTAGTTCACTAAGTAAGGGCCATGAATGGTAAGAACTTCTTAGTTTTTATATGCTGAAATTTCCCCACCCTCAATGCTTTTGAATAATAATTTGACTGAATGTAAATTTCTTTCATTCCAAAGGCTTTTTCTTCAATTCTGGAAAAAACCCCAAAAACTCAGTAATTTTCTCTTAAATATTGCTTTTTCTACCATTTCTTTCAATTCTCTTTCTCTAGAACTCCTATTATATAAATACTTAAATATCTGTTCTCCATGTTTTTAACTGCTGTTTCTTTTTGTTCATCTCATGCTATATTCTGAGTTCCTCAGTTCTCTCTTCCAATTCTCTAATTTACTTTTTGAGTGTATTTAATCTAGGGTTTCTCCCATTTATGGCCGTTTAGATTTCAATTAGGGTATTTTTCATTTCAAGGATTTCTAATTGGTTATTGTTTGTATTGTTTCATTTCAGCCTAGTTTTGCTTAATAATTTCCTTTTGAAATGGAAGATGTGCATTCATTTCTGAACATTTTCAACCTACTATTTTAAAGTCTTTTACAAGTTTCCAGAGGAAATTCGAGAAAATTTCTGACCCAGTTGTTAATTTCAAAGGCTGTCTTTCTTACCAGTAGGTTCTTTCATACAGTTTGGAATTCTGGTTCTCGAGCTCTTTTTGAGTGAGAACATATTTGCTTTGTTTAATTTCTCTTTCTTTCTTACTTTCCTCTCCTCCCTTCTCAGGATGCCTCCATCTGGCCCTCTGGGTCTCAACCTAGAGCCAGAGCTTTGGATCATGATTCTCCATCCCAGGATATTCGGGATATGATGGATCTAGTCATGGGCCAGCAGGCAGCTTGACAATTCCTGGTAGCAAGTTGTTCTCTGTTCCACCCCTCCCTGGGCTCTAGTAAAGCTAGGATCTACAGATTGACAGCTGTTTTCTTCAGCTCCTTTTCACAAGCAGTGGAGCCCCCATCAGCTCCTGGTATCAAACAGAGTTTCAGTCAACCACATTGTGGGGAGCATGTTTTACCTGCAAGGGAGCTGAACTCTTGCCCAGCTGCCAGCGTCCAGCTTCCAAACTTAAGAGTCCACAAGCTTTTGACTTCAGCCCCACTGATCTTTCTTTGTTTCTATTCTATTTTTGGTTCACGAAGATAAGTAAGAGTCCAGTTGTGTTTGTGTGTTTTAAAAATAATTTTTATGTTTTAAATGTCATAACTGCCTATGTGTTTGAAGCAAAGGGGTTTTTGGAGACATAAACTCACTTCCTTGTGTTGACGTCAACCTCCTCACACCTGCTTTTTTTCCCCCACCCCTCTGCTGAAACCACTAAGTCAAAGTCACCGGTGATCTCTAGGTCACCAAGTCCAATGGACATGTCTCTATCCTAACTGTACATGACTGTTTGGCAACTTTTGACATAACCGCCCCATTCTGAAAACCTCACTCTCTGTGTGGCTACTCGGCAGTCTCCTGGATCTCATTCTCATTACCCTTTGCAGCTCAACAGATCAGCAATTTTGATATATTCCTTTGTTTTCTGGCATTTATTGTTGCTGATGAGTAGCTTGCTAATGTTTGTCAGTCTTTTGCAGGTAGCTTGTCTTTTTCCATAGGTTGCTTTCAAGATTTTTGTTTCTTATATTTGATTTCTCCAATTTTACCAAGCTGTCTAGGTATGAATTTACTTTACTTTGCTCAATATCTTGTGGCCTGTACCTGAAGGATAATGTGAGTTCAGGTCCCATACTGGTGTAGAAACTGGCTTGGGGTTCCAATTTAGTATAGATGATTCTTTTTCCCCCTGTGATGCAGGCCAATGGCAGGCTTTCTGGCTCTTCCCCAGGCTGGCAAGCAGAGTTTTTCTATCCTGTGGGGAGTAGACAGCACCTTTGTTCCAACTTCAGGTCTCGTCAGGCCTCAAGGCCTTATCTTCTGTTGCCACTTCAACATGAAAATCCCTTCTTAATCCCTAAGACCTATTGGAAGCTGCTCACTGTGCTAGTTTTGGGTTCCATTTTGATTTCTGGCACCTCAGAATTTCCCTTTCTTGCTTTCAATCTCCTATTATGTCTTCAGAAAAAAAAAAAGTATCCAGCATTTCTTTGTGTGAATGGTGAGTCCTGCTTCCGGTCCGTCAGTTTGTCTTGGTTTTAAGACACTATTGTGGAACTCAAAGCCAAGGATTTGACTGTTTCCCCACACTGGGTTCTTTTGAGTCCTCTTTCCTGTACAACTAAGGTAGCCTAAACCGAGTTTCAGTCAATTGAATCCAATTTTAACACAGTGGGGTTTGGGAATTCCTGGCCTTCAAGATAAAGTTCAAGTTCCCCAAACATTCTGACCCTAAATATGTTCCTAACCCTATTTCCTCTTATCCTCTCTAATATACCCGATGTTTTTGACAAACCAAAGTACTTGTTCTTGTTCCTGTCCTCCTGAGCTTTCTCATATCCATGACCTTGAATATGATGCTCCCTTTTACCCATAATACTTTTGCCATTACTGCAGGCCAATCCAACCTGTCTTTCAAAATTCAGCTCTACTGATGTTCCTTTGAAGCCTGGCTAATCTTTTCAGCCTAACGTTGTCGGTGCTTCCTCTGGATTTCTGTGACTGAGAGAGGCAGCTGTGGGGCAAAGGACTGAATCTGCTCATTGATATCAGGACCTGGCTCTGCTACGCCTTAGCCATCTCTTTTTACCTACCCAATCTTCAATTTTTCATACATAATATTTACCTCACAGAGTTCAAGTTTCTTTTATCACTCTTTTGGTTTTGAGTGACATAAAACCCAACTCAAATTGGCTTCTGACAAAAGGACATTTATTGGTTTATGTAGGTAAAAAGTTTAGGGGCAGAGATGGCTTTAGGCATGGCTGAATTTAAAGTTCAAATAATATCATCAGGACTCTCTCCTCTCAGCTCTGCTTTTTGCTCTGTCACCTTCAGACTCAGGTTCAAAGGGCGGACACATGGCTGGCAGCAGTCCTAGAACCATGTTTTTCACTGCTTAGTCCTTCAAGTTCAGCAGTCAGGTGTAAGAACCTCTTTCTCAGCAGTCCCGCTAAATTCGTGTTGTTCTCACTGGGCCATGTTCCCATCCCTGAAGTGGTCCCTATGGCCAGGAGCACTTGATGCTTGGATTGGCCTGGGCCTGGGAGACTTGTCCTGTCTCAGACCCTGGGGTGCAGCCCTGGCAGCAGCACATGGCATGAGAGTGAGTGGGTGGTGGCTCCCCAGGGAGAAGTGAACCTTTGACTGCAGTCATAGATGTCAGCTCTAGCTGTTTTTTCGTAGTGGGTTGGGGTGTGTGTGTGGGGGAGGTTGAGGTAAATAATTTCAGGAAGATGTGTCCTTGCATTGATTAATTTGTTGACTTGGCCAACTTAAGGCCCTTCAGAGAAAAGAAAAGTCCTTCTGGTTTATTTATTTATTTATTTTATTTCTGGTTACTTTTTCTCTTCCTGCCCTCCTTATAGGGGGTGGGGTGGGGGATGGGCTTCAGGAAAGTGCAGACTGAATGAAAGAATTTCCCAAAGGCACTGACCAGCAGGGCAAGTTTGGGGCTCCCTACTTGAAACATGAGCTTCCAGGAAGATTTGAATTTAACCAAAGTAACTCAATATCAGTTCTAGTGGAACAGCTGGCAGCCCAGCCCAGTGAAGCTGGGTTATGCTCATTTCCTTAGATTTCCTATCTGAACATGGAGCCTGGAGCTACTGGGGCCATGCTGGAGTTTGGAAAACGAGCTCTTAAAGGAGGGAATGAAGGACCCAGATCACCTCTTGAAATAGGCTACAGGGGGCCCCTGCTTCGGAGTTGGACTGAAGCTATGTTGTGGCTAATTTTGCAATAAAGACACTAAATCTTTGCAGCCACAAGTGTTAAGCAGGAAAGGTGATGAGGCTTAACATATAATATATTGGGGCTGTAGGGACCCAGCAGTTTTCAATCTGCCTTCTCTTAAGCTGTTGCAATGATGCTGTTCCAGGAACCTGGGCCCTAATAGGGCAGGAACAACAGGGACACTTTTTTAGATAAGGAAAGGTCCACGATTACAGGTACTCTGAGCATGGACATAAGCACTTGACTAAATTGCGGAGTCATTGTTGGAAACAGTATTTCAGCTCTTGTATATTGAAGACAATTGCTAGAGGTTGGAGGCGTGGGAATGAGAATTCCCCAAAGGCATTGTTAGCAGGTCAAGCGTCACCAAAGGAAAATCTGAGCTGGGCGGGCCAGCAGCACTCACCCTGGTGCTTGGGAGGTTGGGCAGCAAAGCTGGGTGTTGCTTAAAAGGAACTCCCTGTTCACTATCTTCACTTCCTGGCCTGTGCAAGTCAGTGCACACTCATTTCTAGAAGGATATCCCTTGACTTCCAGGTTCTGACCTTGCTCCCCTTTGTGTCTCTGTCTTTTCCTTAGTGGGCATCTTATCTCTCTTCCTGACACTGGCTTCCTCTTGAGGCATCAGCCACGCTCTCACCACTTTTTTGGGTAATGTTCTCCTTGCCTGAATCTGCCCTTTGGTCTCTGTTCCCCATAGGTAGCCACAGGTGCTCTGCCAAGGGACTGGCAGCAACACGGCCTTATAGAAAGAGGCAGGACTTGGAAGCCACACCGAGGTGAGTTCTAATCCTAGCTCTGCCATTTTTAACAGGGTGAGCTTGAGCAAGTTATTTCGTCTGAGTTTCAATTTCCTCATTTGTAAAATGGAGATAATTGATCTTACTGGGTTTCTATGAGGATTCGAGAAGATAAAGGACTTAGGACAGCAAGCAGGTTGCCCCTTTGTAAATGGCAGCTCTTATTAAGAGTGAAGAGCAGGCTGGAGAAGACATCGCACAAACACCACCTTCCCACCACACGAGTGATAGCGTCTGACCAACAGCAGAACCAGGCGTTTACCCTGGCGGAAAAGTCCTGCCTAGATGGAGCCTCCACTTCCTCATTTGTAACCTACTCGAATGTTTCACAATCTGTTAGTCAGAACATTGTTCTTAATATCTAACCTAAGTTCCTCCTGCTACAATGTGTCATATCACACTTATTTTAAAATACTGTAACACACAAATAGGCCCACGAAAATGAGCAGGTTTTTCTCTTGAGTCAGAGGCATTCACGGGCTTTGGGATTACTCTTCTTATCTTCAAGAAACCAGGGAATATTTGTTGTATGAGCACTGCAAACAGGGATGTGCTGGGCTGGGCTGGAAAACTCCAGAGAGGCGTAAGAAGACTCTCGAGACTCATGTCTCTCTTGGACCAGCAGTCTCAGTTTCGCTCTCTTGCTCTCTCTCTCTCTCTAATTTATTTTCATTTGTAAGGGGATGACTGATTCCTAATTTATAAAGCCTAGGAACACACCAGAGGAGTTTAGTAAGACTAATCACATTGGTGGCTAATCACTGATATACAACATGGCCTTGGCAAGTATTGAAATGAAAATTGTGTGTCGGCCTTCCACACTGAAGGAGGTGACACTAGCCAGCTCCATGCAACAGATCATTTCATTCAACTCTGCAGGTGCATTTCTCTGTTCATTCTTCTTGCTGGGCTCTTACTATGAATCACATCTTTTCAGCTACGTGGCCCAGAATCTGAGTATCTAAGAAGCTCTTGTGGGAGGAAAACGCTTGCCCTGCCTGGCAGCACAGGGCCTGATGTCTCAGCTTTCACATACGTCCACTCTACCGACATGCTCTAAGCCTATGGGCTGAGGTTGCAATGGAAGCCTGTAGACCGTGGACATCCTGTAGATGTGTTCTGTTTGGCCCCACAGTGTTTCGTTTTTTAAATTTGGATTGGCTTCCCTAATCTAAAACTTGATGAAATCACACGATGCAGGTTCCTAGCTTTTCTTGAAAAAGGGAAGATCTGGCGACACTGAAGTTGCATTTCCTCCCAGTAACATCACCCGTGACTGAGTGGAGATGGTCCTTGTAGATGGGATTACCATTTCCTGCTGCCTCACTCTCACTCAGTTTTATTCATGTATAGAAACTGCCTGGGTGTGGAATCCATTTGAACTGGGGACTCTCAGCCTATGAAATCCCCTTTGGTCACTGATAGAGAGCACAGCTGCTAGCAATCTTTTCCTCTGGACTCTCTAATCTCTCTTTCTCCACAGAAATGATACCACCGAAATCAGTGTTTGTGATTCCTGCAGATATGCCTTCCCTGAGTTTATATTTAATGCCACAGTTGAAGATGTGTCATGTTACCTGTGGATTCTTATATGAGCATCAAGGGGATGAATCTTTTGAACTTGCCTCTTTGCAACTGCTTCTAGGTTCTTTAAAACCCAGGGGGCTTCTGTGTGTGCAGTGTAACACTCATTACAACTTCCAGTAAAACCGATGCTCAATTTATCAATTTTATATGCCTAATAAACAAAACTTAGAAAACAAAAATTTCTTAAGCTATATTTTTACATTTAAATCTTGATTATAAATTATATTTTTTTGGAGGTGAAAATAACAGAAAGGCTTGAATCAAAATAGCTCCAACAGTACGGAAATATCTGATCTCACGTACCACGAAGCTCTGAGGTGGGGTGGGCTGTGGTCGCAGTACGCCTGACTCCAGCTCCACTTCGCTCTGCTTCCCTCGGCTCTGCCCTTCTCCATGTATGGATAGAACCCTCAGGCTTGTAGGAATGTGCTGACTACAATAGTATCATATCCAGACACAATAATTCAGAGGAGGAAGTGGGACTCTTATTTCTCATTTTTGAGGACTGTGGAAATCTCTCCGAGAAGCCCCAGAGTGGACTTTTACTGGCATCTCATTGGCCAGAGTTGTGTTACATGCCCATTCCTGAAGCAATCACTGGCAAGGAGAATGAGACTGCCAGCTGGCTTTTACTAATTGTCCCAGAGTGCAATGAGTGTTGGGGTGTCCACTATACTGATCACTACATAAGTTAATTAAATGCCCTTAAACAATCCATGTTATAATCATAAATCCAATAAGACTGATTCCTTGAACATTTCAAACATCCTAACACACCAAATAGCAGACAGAATCATGAAAATAAAATAATCACAGAGGCTATGGCCACTTCTAAATCGAATTTAAAAATATTTGGGCCGGCCAAGTGGCATGTTGGTTAACCGTTGGCTTGGGATGCCAGCTCTGAGCAGCAGGGTCCTGGTTCGAATCCCACATGCGGGCCAGTGATACTGCCCTCTACAGCTAAGATGGTGAACAACAGCTCGACCTGGAGCTGGCCTGCTGTGAGTTGCCGTGACGGCGTAGGCTGCAGCCCCTGCTGCAGTGGGCTGCCGTGAGCCACCGTGAGTGGCTGGCAGCCAGCGTGAGCTGCCGTGAGCTGCTGTGAACAGACGTCCAATGGCCGGCAAGCGACTCTCTCACCCAGGAAGAGTGCAATGATAATACCAACATGGGTCAGTGAAGCGACGTCCTCCACCACTAGACTGAAGAACAAAAGGACAGCAACTTATCTGTTCCCCTTCCCCGATTCCCCAATGCTGTTCCCCTCGCCCAATTCCCCAATAAAATCTTAATAAAAAAATATTAAAACCATGGATTTAATTTCTTTTTCATTGCCTCTATACTTATTCTTCTAAGTAATATTTATTTTGATACTTTTCTAGGGTTAGGGTACTAGACCCCAAATTAAAATACCATCTCATACTGGCCAACGTAGGTTATACGTTTTAGGTTATTTATGTAGGTCAGGCTTATTTGTAATTGATTCTTGGTTGGAGCAAGGTATTTGGTGGCACCTTTTATGCCTGAGCTGGCATGCGTCAGGCTGCTTACCCTCTTTATAGTAGCTTTATTGAAATGAATTGCCATCTCATACAATTCACCATTTAAAGTATACATTTCAGTGATTCTTAGTATATTCACAGAGTTGTGCCACCGCCACTACAATTAATTTTAGAACACGTTCATTCCTCCAGTGAGAAACACATCAGCAGTCACTCTCTATTTTCCCTTTCCTTCAAGCCCGAGGCAACCACTAATCTACTTTCTGTCTATATGGATTTACCTATTTTGGACATTTCATACAAATGGAATCATATTCTTTGTGGAGGCTGAAGCTCTTTTATCATTAAACTTTATTTGCTTCATCATTGGCACTTGTCATGCTTATACCTTTCATAGAGGATTTCCTGAAATTACGTATTTTTAAAGTTTTGCTTGGGTAGTATCACATAATTGATTGTACTGCCTTTGTTAAATATTGACCCGGTTTTTTGGAATGATTGGAAATATAAGCGTGCCTTATATATTAGGCATTCACTCCCTTTCTTTCATTCTCCATGTCTTCCTTCCTTCCCTCCTTCTTTTCTTCCTTCCACAAATAAGTATTGAGCACCTTCTCTGTATCAGGTATTGCGCCAGGGGCTGGGGATACAACAATGGACATGCAGGTAGGCCCTTCCCCACCTGGACTTACAGTTGGGTGGAGGTCCTGTCCTATCTGCTGATGACTTCAGGAGGCAAGGCCATGTGGGTGCTGCTGTTCCCATTCCAGACCTGTTCAGCGGGCCCCAGGGTAGCTTCCTGCTCCTTCCCACATTTCCAATTTTTCCTCATCTCTCCTACCATCTAACCCTTGACATACTATCTTCAGGTATATAATTATCATAATTTATGCAATCTTTTCCAAATATGCCTAATTATCTTATTATCACAGTAACAACTCATGAAATATGTATCGTATTTGCTTTGTTATCAAGTTTTATTTGGTTACAACAATAAACTGTCCATTTATTTCATATTTATATCTAGATTTTTACAAAAAAGAATTCAAATTGAAGCAGAACACAGGTCATTTATAAATAGCCAAGGTATAGATAATAACAGCTAGCTGGTAAATCTTTCTTACAGTTGAACACTAATTTATCTTCGACCAAAAAAAGAATGCAAACAAATTTGCATTGATGAAGACACTTCTGAATGGTGATAGTTGATTCAAATAAAGCCTATAAAAGGGGTTTATAGATTTGGTGTGGGGTTAAAAATTAGGAAGTATATGTTATACTAAGGAAGTATATTATTAGAACAAGAGCAATTTAGAGCTGGATAAAAGTGGAAAGTTTTAATGCAAACTGACGGACCTGAAACATATTCTTCAGGTCTGTCACCTGGAAACAACTTTACTCACTACCAAACGTTGATTTGCACACTGAACATCCAGATTTTGGATTCTCCTATGCTCCTAAAAAAGAAACCAGGGCTGGGGCGGCCGGTTAGCTCAGGTGCTCATCACACCAAGGTTGCCGGTTTGAGTCCCATATGAGTCACTGAGGTGTGCCCTCCACAACTAGATTGAAGACAATTACTTGACTTGAAGCTGATGGGTCCCGGAAAAACACACTGTTCTCCAATAAAAAAATCCTTGAAAAAAAGAGAAAGGAAGAAAGAAAGAAAGAAAGAAAGAAAGAAAGAAAGAAAGAAAGAAAGAAAGAAAGAAACCAGGGCTTTTTGAAGCACAGGCAATTCCATTTCTTGGAGCATGGAAAAATTCAAGAGGGGCTTGTATCATTCAAGAAAAGGAAGCTTTCAAAAATATTTGCAATAGTGCTGATTGGACAATGAAACCAATATAACAGGTTCTCACTAGCCGTGTGATTCTTTTGAGCATCAGAAAAGAATAATTACAATTAATTATGTAAAGTCCATGTATCAAAGTGAAAAGTTTTCAAGAAGTATATGAAAAAGTAATTATAATAAAAAAAGGAGGATATATACAATAAAATATATTTAAATTCTTATTAATTTTCAAAGTAGGTGTTAATGTTTTTGGCTGCTTGGTTTTTTCTGTTAGGTACATTTTATGTATAAATTAAAAATATGTATTTCTCTCTGTGTATTGAGGAAAGAGTATACACAAGGAATTGTAAAGTAAGCCAAAGAGTTATGTAAAAGCAAGGATTGTACCAAGAGCAGGAAAAATTACTTAACCCAATGGTCACATAACAACCAGGTAAAAAGAGGGTCTGATAACGTGTTCCAGGGTGGTGCACTAATCAAATGTCAGACAGAAAGAAAGCTGACTCAGCAGACTCAACCCTTTGTTTGCTGGGAGGTAAAATCTTTGGATGATTCTACTAGTATATTAAAGGTTAGTTGATGGGAGAGATGTGGAAAGATTGGAAATGTGACAAGCAGCAGGAAGCTACCCTGGGGCCCGCTGAACAGGTCTGGAATGGGAACAGCAGCACCCCATGGCCTTGCCTCCTGAAGTCCTCAGCAGACAGGACAGGACCTCCACCCAACTGTAAGTCCAGGTGGGGAAGAGCCTACTTGCATGTTCATTGTTGTATCCCCAGCCCGTGGCACAATACCAGATACAGAGAAGGTGCTCAATACTTATTTGTGGAAGGAGGGAAGGAAGGCATGGAGGAAGAAAGGAAGAGTGAAGAATGAAAGAAAAAACATTTTTATTTGGATATTGTTGATTTGCCCCATCTTTATTGAGATATAGTTGACAAAAAAATTATATATGTGCAAGATGTATCACTTGATGTTTTGATATACATTGTGAAATAATTGCCACAATCAAGCTAATTAGCATATTGATCACCTTACATTGTGGAGTTTTCTTTATTTTTATATTTTTGTGGTGAGAACTTACCCTCTTGGCAAATTTCAAATATACAGTACAGTATGTTAACTATATTCACATTGCTGTACATTAGATGTCCAGAGCTTATTCATCTTGCAAAACTGAAACTTTGTACCTTTGACTGTCTCCCTGTTTCCCCCTCCCCGGCAACAACCATTCTACTCTTTTGCATCTATGATTCATATATAAGTGAGATTGTGCAGTATTTGTCATTCTGTGTTTGGCTTATTTCACTTAGCATAATGTCTTCCAGGTTCATCCATGTTGCTACAAACATCAAGATTTCTTTTTTGATAAAGGCTGAATAATATTGCATTTTATATATACCGGGGGTGCCAAAAAAATGTATATACATGACTTATATTCATCTTTTGTTATTGGTATATATTGAGTATTACTTTTTTTTTTTTTAAGCTGAGCCATCCTGCCACCTGTTGGCAGCTCAGTGGCTGCTCAGCTC